AACATGAACATATACAAAAGAAAAGTAACAGACTACACAGCACAGCAGAAATGGTGGGACTGAGAATAAATACAAAGAAAACTAAGATCATGACAAGCAGTCCAAACCAACAACCAGTGACCATAAATAACCAAACACTTGAAAATGTAGAACATTTCACATATCCTGGCAATGTGGTGTCCCTACTGGGAGGGACAGAGGAAGACATACAGTCACTCCTTAACAAAGATAGAGCTGCTTTTGGAAGGATGATTCAAATCTGGAAATCGAACAGTTACTGTAGATGAACGAAACTCCGACTCTACAAGAGCATCATTTTGCCAGTTCTTCTTTATGGAGCAGAATGCTGGAGAATGACTAAAAAGGATGCACACAAGCTGTCCACCTTCCATCACACATGTATACATAGAATTATCAACATTTTCTGGCCAGATACAATCTTAAACATTAAACTACTTCAAGTCACAAACCAAGAAACTCTAGACAGTATGATAACCAAGAGAAGATGGAAATGGCTTGGCCACGTTATGAGAATGACCTCTGATATACCTGCCAAAACAGCTCTCACATGGACACCAGAGGGAAAGAGAAAACAGGGGCGCCCAAAAACAAATGGAGAAGAATGATGGAAAGTGACCTGAGTGAGGCATCTTTGACATGGAAAACTGCACTGAAGATTACACAGGACAGGAGAGTATTGAAAGTCTTCTCCGAAGCCTCATGTGCCACTAGGCATAACGAGAACTGATGATGATGATGATGATATATGTTTTCCGCGGCCGTCCTCTTGCTCTTGCAGCTGATCTTCTGAGATGTAGTGCTTGTGATGGTTTTTGATCTTGCTGCATTCTAACGAGATGGTCAAACCACTTGATCTGCTGTTTCTCGATGAATCTAGTACAAGAAGTTGTTCCCACAATTTGTCTGGTAGTGTCATTATTCACTCGATCACGGATGGTGAGTTTGACGGCTTCTCTCAGGCATCTCATCTCCCAGGGGGTGATTTTGCGTATATGGGCTTTAGATAGTGTCCATGTTTGAACTGGTAGCTAAATTTTGGAATGAATATGCTGTTTATAATCTGTCATTTTGCACTTATAGTCATGTTTAGACGTTTCAATAATGGAGACAATTAGTATATAAGTGACCTTGCTTTCTGACAATGAAGATCTGTAAATGTCTTTAATGTCGTCAGTATATATTTTCTAGAGCGTCTCCTTGCAATCGTATCTGATCTTCTTTGATGTCCCTCCTGTGTTGGTAACTATGTGTTCCTAGATTCTAGTTCGATGTTAAAACCAGTGTTGCCATTTTAGATGTTTTACATCCAGATTTAGATATTTTGTTTTACATTTAGATGACGTTTTTGACGTTTTAGATGGTAGATGTTTTTTCTAGATTCTTTTCATTTGGAGTGAATTTATCAAAACTAACCTAAGAAACAGGATAAATTTGACCTCTTAAATGCTATCTTGACAATTTAATTTTGCCTGATAAGAGTATGAAAAGGCTGTTCTAAAGTTTCAACATCATCATCCAAGCTAAGTTTATCATGTGGATCTTGTGAGGAAGACTTCCGTAGAGATGAGTACATGATTCTATAGGGTAAGTCACATCAATTGCTATGTAATTTGTGACTCTTTCCATTTGGATGTTTTTTCTAGATGTTTTCCACGCAAATGTAGATGTTTTTAGATATTTTTTGACTCAGTTTTGGATGTTTTTTGTCAAAGAAAAGTGGCAACACTGGTTAAAACCTTGTCATTTGGTATAACAGGCAGCTGCTTTGAGAGTGGTTGAAGTTGTGAAGGATTCTTCTGATTCAGTAGTTGCCAAACTTATTGAGGTCCTACTGCCCTTGAGCATACGGCAAGACAACCGCCCCCTGCCGCCCTTGAGCATACGACAAGACCCCGCCCCCTGCCGCCCTTGAGCATACGGCAAGACCCCCCGCCCACTCGACCCCTTCTCTAACATAACAAAATGGGATTCAGAAGAGGAGCAGAATAAATTACGCAACAAGAGAAACAGAAAGTGTGGAGATACATTTTAGTCAGAATTTGTTCTTAATCTATAACTAAATGCGAGTATTATCATATTAATTACATTATTAATGTTAGATGTACAAACTGCTCATGTAAACAAAATTACTCTTGTCGTTTTGTTTAATAAAACGGGTTTAAAGTATTTTATTTGTAATTAACACTAAAAATAAATGTTAGTATAAAGGATTCCTACAAGTACAAATGCACTCACTTTGAAAATTGTTTGACACCCTTAAAAACCTCCTTGCGCCCCTCTACCCAGTTTTGAGACCACTTGTTGAATTGTTTTATGTTACGTAATTGTTACTGTAAAATGCACGTGACGAGATACAACAAAAATATGTCAGGCAATAAATTGTGCAATCTATTGTTTGTGTCTTCTTTGTTCAGATTTGATCTTCTGTTCAATTCGGTACAAGATATTGTCTCAATATGCCGACACAATATGGCGACACAATATGGCGGCTCCGGATACTGACATTTACAAAACGTGAGTTTAGAAAAAAAAACAAAAACCTAACAAAAGTGGAATAAACAGTGGGACACAAATAACCGAGTGGGTTAGGGCGTAACACAATGATGTCTATCTCTGTGAACTAGCAGATGCAGGAGATATGATAACGCGCAGCTCAGGTAGTCTTTCTGTGTGTGTCTGCAGGATCCTCTTCGCTGTTATTACGAATGTATTTAGGCAGTGCACTTACGCACAAACATCTGCATTCAGGTTTATAAACCCAACCGAAGAGACGTGTACTTACAGCAGGATGCGACCCGGGGCATGGGTGGGAGGGGCTGAGGGATCTACATTTACACAAGTATATTTAGGGGACAAAAGGGGTGGACACAATGGGATTGTTTCCTTTAGGCATCCACTCTGACCCCGGTGATTAACATAGGGCGTGATTGACAAAGAAAGGAATGTTGTTGGGGAAGACTTGGCCTATTGAAACATCAGTCTCTAATCCAGTCTATGACCCATTGAAGTACCAGTCTATAACCCATTGAAGCACCAGTCTATGACCCATTGTAGCACCAGTCTATGACCCATTGAAGTACCAGTCTAAAACCCATTGAAACACCAGTCTATAACCCATTGTAGCACCAGTCTATAACCCATTGTAGCACCAGTCTATAACTCATTGTAGCACCAGTCTATGACCCATTGAAGTACCAGTCTATAACCCATTGAAGCACCAGTCTATGACCCATTGTAGCACCAGTCTATGACCCATTGTAGCACCAGTCTATGACCCATTGTAGCAGCAGTCAATGACCCATTGTAGCACCAGTCTATGACCCATTGTAGCACCAGTCTATGACCCATTGTAGCACAAGTCTATGACCCATTGTAGCACCAGTCTATGACCCATTGTAGCACCAGTCTATGACCCATTGTAGCACCAGTCTATGACCCATTGTAGCACCAGTCTATGACCCATTGTAGCACCAGTCTATGACCAATGAGAGCACTAGACTACGACCATTTGTAGCTCCTGTCTATGACTCATTGTAGCACCAGTCTATGACCCATTGTAGCACCAGTCTATGACCCATTGTAGCACCAGTCTATGACCCATTGTAGCACCAGTCTATGACCCATTGTAGCACCAGTCTATGACCAATGAGAGCACTAGACTACGACCATTTGTAGCACCAGTCTATGACTCATTGTAGCACCAGTCTATGACCCATTGTAGCACCAGTCTATAACCCATTGTAGCACCAGTCTATGACCAATTGTAGCACCAGTCTATGACCCATTGTAGCACAAGTCTATGACCCATTGTAGCACCAGTCTATGACCCATTGTAGCACCACTCTATGACCCATTGTAGCACCAGTCTATGACCCATTGTAGCACAAGTCTATGACCCATTGTAGCACCAGTCTATGAACCATTGTAGCACTAGTCTATGACCCATTGTAGCACCAGTCTATGACCCATTGTAGCACCAGTCTATGACCCATTGTAGCACCAGTCTATAACCCATTGTAACACCAGTCTATGACTCATTGTAGCACCAGTCTACGACCCATTGTAGCACCAGTCTATGACCAATGAGAGCACTAGACTACTACCATTTGTAGCGCCAGTCTATAACCCATTGTAGCACCAGTCTATGACTCATTGTAGCACCAGTCTATGACCCATTGTAGCACCAGTCTATGACCTATTGTAGCACCAGTCTATGACCCATTGTAGCACCAGTCTATGACCCATTGTAGCACCAGTCTATGACCCATTGTAACACCAGTCTATGACCCATTGTAGCACCAGTCTATGACCCATTGTAGCACCAGTCTATAACCCATTGTAGCACGAGTCTATAGCCCATTGTAGCACCAGTCTACGACCCATCGTAGCACCAGTCTATGACCCATTGTACGACCAATGGGAGCACTAGACTACGACCATTTGTAGTACCAGTCTATGACTCATTGTAGCACTAGTCCATGACTCATTGAAAAATGTGTTTAAAAAACCCATTAAACCAGCAATAAATACAGCCTTGGCATTGCTGTCTGACTGGTCGTTGCCGCCGTGGTGTAGCGGCTAGATGCTCGCTTATGGATCGGAATGTTGTGGGTTCAGGACCTGTTGGAGCCGGACTGTTATCTGAAATGACCTTGGCTTCCGGGTCGACCCAGCTATAAATGCATACTAGGTAAAAATACATGGGAAGTAAAAGCGGTCCGGGTGATGTTGACCATTTGAAAGGCTGTAATTAAATTAAAGTATGAAACTAACATAGAAGAAAGGTTTAAAAATACATATTCAAAGAATAATCATCATCATCATCATCGCGTGATACCACTAAGCGTCACTTAGGTCTCACAGAATCGACCATCTCAAAAGTAACACAATTTCAAGGGAAATAATCAAACAGTTGTATTCTGTTGGGTTTACAAATCGCTGACAACAATCGGATGCCTTGTTATGGATTATAGTAAATTTTATTTGCACAAATGAACTTCTTTCTCTACCAGACACACTTTACATTGTATTCTGCAGCACCAAATTGTTTCGCATCTGCAGCTTCTTTTAAGTATTTGTTTCTGAATGTGATATCCACGATCACAACATAAGTTGTCACAGTTTTCTCCCTTAGTACAGGTTCGTCTAGAAGTTCCCGGAGAAAAGCTACTGTTGAGACAGAAGTTGGGAGAGATGTCAGTGTAAGCTAGTTCTGCTTTGTTGGCAGGAACTAAATCAGTTCCTTGGAATGAGAACACATCTCTTGTATCGCCTGGTCGTCTCAGTAGATAAACAGTCCCTACATCCGCTTGATTCGGAAACGAGAGCACCCGAACGGACAATTCGTATTTTTGCTTGAGTACATTGCTGACCAGTTTAAAGGGAGACAACTGCAACCAGCACGTCTTCACAGTACAGGTCCCTGAGACGCCATGACACTTGCATTTGGTAACCAGGAGATCCTTGACAACCTGAGGGAAAGTAAGATAAACACATTACAGGGTTGCCGGGGTGAAATGGTCAACCAGTTTACCTGGCAATCCGAAAACCATGGCAGCATATCTCGGACGCCCCCTTTCACTTTACGAGTCCAGTTTCTAAAAACAATTCTCCTCTCTGGATTCCGGGGCTTCATTTGGGAGACTACAGAATAGGCCCACTGGCCCCTAACAAGCGTGTCGTAGGAGGCGACAAGCAAGGTTGTTTCCTTCAAACCCAATTGTATATATCTGAGAGACAAGTAACCAACAGTCTGTATACAAATAATTTAGATTTATAAATCAAAAGTGCACGAAAAACTCAAGTTCTGGGTCAAGATCAAAGTCCAGAAGTGGACGAACGACCATAATTTCTGCTGGAGTTTTCATACGGTGAACGCTAAGAAGAGAAGGAAGTAAGATGTTCTCTGGAAATATGGAATTCAAACTTTAAGAGTGCGCACCAACATTAGCAAACCTATACACCAAAACTAGCAAACCAGCACACCAACATTAGCAAACCCGCACACCAACATTAGCAAACCCGCACACCAACATTAGCACACCCGCACACCAACATTAGCAAACCCGCACACCAACATTAGCAAACCCGCACACCAACATTAGCACACCCGCACACCAACATTAGCAAACCCGCACACCAACATTAGCAAACCGGTACACGAACATTAGCAAACTGTACATCCATACTAGCAAACCAGCACATCAACATTAACAAACCGGCACACCAATATTAAAAAGTCCGCACACTAGCATTAGCAAACTCGCACACCACAATTAGCACCCCTGAACGAAATTAGTAAACCCGCACACTAAGAGGAGCCAATCAGTCCTAATCACGTTTTCCGGTACATCTACACACCTTCTCGGTCTGGTACATCTACACACCTTCTCTGTCTGGTACATCTACACACCTTCTCGGTCTGGTACATCTACACACCTTCTCTGTCTGGTACATCTACACACCTTCTCGGTCTGGTACATCTACACACCTTCTCATTCTGGTACATCTACACACCTTCTCGGTCTGGTACATCTACACACCTTCTCAGTCTGGTACATCTACACACCTTCTCGGTCTGGTATATCTACACACCTTCTCTGTCTGGTACATCTACACACCTTCTTGGTCTGGTACATCTACACACCTTCTCGGTCTGGTATATCTACACACCTTCTCGGTCTGGTACATCTACACACCTTCTCGGTCTGGTACATCTACACACCTTCTCTGTCTGGTACATCTACACACCTTCTCATTCTGGTACATCTACACACCTTCTCTGTCTGGTACATCTACACACCTTCTCGGTCTGGTACATCTACACACCTTCTCATTCTGGTACATCTACACACCTTCTCGGTCTGGTATATCTACACACCTTCTCGGTCTGGTATATCTGCACACCTTCTCGGTCTGGTACATCTACACACCTTCTCATTCTGGTACATCTACACACCTTCTCGGTCTGGTACATCTACACACCTTCTCTGTCTGGTACATCTACACACCTTCTCATTCTGGTACATCTACACACCTTCTCTGTCTGGTACATCTACACACCTTCTCGGTCTGGTACATCTACACACCTTCTCATTCTGGTACATCTACACACCTTCTCGGTCTGGTACATCTACACACCTTCTCGGTCTGGTACATCTACACACCTTCTCTGTCTGGTACATCTACACACCTTCTCAGTCTGGTACATCTACACACCTTCTCGGTCTGGTACATCTACACACCTTCTCTGTCTGGTACATCTACACACCTTCTCAGTCTGGTACATCTACACACCTTCTCGGTCTGGTACATCTACACACCTTCTCTGTCTGGTATATCTACACACCTTCTCGGTCTGGTATATCTACACACCTTCTCTGTCTGGTATATCTACACACCTT